ACATATATTTAACTAATTGAATAGAAAAAAAAAATTGCCTGTGCTTGCTATGCTGAGATCAAAATATTTTTTTAGATCAAAATTCAAAACAAGAGCACTACCACTTAACAAAACACAAAACTTTTAAATTATGTGATGTGAACTATTAAACTTAAATAAATTCTTCTTGATAATGTAAATACCAATATTATAATAGCAATTAATTTTGCAAAAGACAAGATAAATATTTAGTTAATTGAATAGAAAATAAAATAAAATAAAAAATTTACATGTGCTTGCTCCATCCCTATGCTGCTGGTGTGTGCTATCAAACAAATGTAGGGAAGGTTGGATTAAGAGAAGATAGGGTTAGGAATTAGAAAAAAGGGACCTTTCAAATTGTTGGGCTGGGCCTTAACTGTTGGCCTTTTAATGGGTCAAAAAAATTAAGTTAGTTTGGGCCTTTTTTTTTAATTTTTTTTAGACTTAAAACATACCTAAATATTATACTAACTTATAATAGAAGGGGCCCCCTATTTTGGGCCTATTTTGAGGGGCCCTAAGCCATGGCCTTGTGGGCCTATGGCTAGGGTCGAGCCTGCCTATGCCAAAGAGTCCAACCCAACTTATTCATCAAGACCAAGTTGGGTTAAATGCACTGCAGGCACCAATGGCTGAACCCGCTACTCTTGAGTTGTTGAACATGATTGAAGATCTTTAGAGAACTATGGCAGATTTAGCCTTTGGGGTCTTGGCTCCATCATCGACCGCATCATATGCCAAATGGTTCATGTCAAAAAGCTCTCCAATCTTGAGGTGAGCTGTAGTTGGAAAGGGCCAACCCGAAGCTATCTCAAGTCTGGGTGATGACGTATCAACAACAAATAGGCCTCGCTTCGATATAGCCACCCAATCGCTTGACCAAGCTGAAGCAAGTGGCAAGAATAAGGCCGGGACAAGTATTGATACCTATGCACATCTTCGGTGGGCTATTGAGACTTTGAAGGTCAAAGGGTTAAACAAGCAGCAAGTGCTCACAGTTGTTGCGAAGACTGTGGATGACGCTTTTATCGTTCAGGTTGACAACATTTTGACTCAGAGGGTAAGCCATGAAAAGGGATGCTTTACCAGAAACACCCATCCTAAGTCCAGTCCTAAGCTCATAAATACCTAGCCAACACCTGCCAACCCATTTGCCAATGTTTCTAAACCTGATGCTTTATCCTCTAAAAAACAAACCTTTGCCCATCTCCATATGAGCCAAACCTGTGCGTTAAAGGTACTGATGGAGAAAGGGTATCTCAAATCTCTCAATCCTTGACCTCTCCCTAATACTCTCCTACCTAGATATGACCCTACCCAATATTGCACATTCCATCAGCAGTACGGTTACCATACCGACCGTTGTTTTCGCCTTTGCCACGAAATTCAATAATTGATTGACAATAAGGTTATCACCCCACCTGCAAAGCCCAAAGCTGTCAATAAACCTCTCGTTGACTACAATAGATTGTCACTCCATAACACAAATCCCATCCATGGTTTTCCAACAGCCAACCTTAACCCCAACCGGCACGGTCAATGAGATGTGTAAGGATTACCAGGATAATTTGGAGGCTCAATCTGTGAAACTCAGTTTGAAAGTCTGAAATCAATCCTACTGGGTGTGGATGTTAGTATTGCTAAATTGAAGGCAGGTTTGAACCCTCCCGTGGGCTACTTGAAGTTATTTTTGAAATCAACAGATGGACTTGGAGAGTGAAAACCCCTTTTGTCTCAATGATGCTGATTTTGTTTTGAGTTATGTCCAATAAATAGTTGAGTGGTGTATCAAGTTTTATTTTATTTTCTTTGTATTCTCTTGCATCGTTGTGTCTGTTGAGTTTTTTCCCTTGAGTCGCTCTCGTGTACCCTCAGGTCTTTATTTTCTAAATAAGAAAACGGGAGTCAAGTTTTTGATCATTTTGTTGTGCCTACAGTAATACATGTGTGACCTTTTAAAAATAGAAAAAGCTTTGAAATTTGTTTTTTGAATGAGATTCTGTTAATAAGCTTGAGTGTTGAGAAGGATCCCCCAAATGGTTCGAGTGCATTCTGACTAATCGACGCAAAGTCCTTCATGATCTCAAAAGTTTAAGCTATTTCCTCAACTGTTTCTTTTACAAAATTTACAAAGATAGATTCAGAATTGTGCGTGGTATTCTGCATTGTCCTGGGGATGCTCTTCACATGTAGGCGATCATTTTGGCAAGGATAAGGCGGCTTTTGGACCTTATAATAACATAATTTCTCCTTGGTGTTTTCGTTATTTCAAAAAGAACTGGATAAAAGATATCAAAAGAAAAAGAAAAGAAAGGAAAAAAGAAAAAAAAAAGGAAAAAAAAGAAAAGAATAGAAAAGAGAAAAAAGAAAAAAAAGTCAACTATCAAGCCAGGGGTATCCATTGGAATGAACTCCAATCAACTGTAAGGAAGGGAACTTTTGTTTGAATTTGGGGAAGCCAATGCGAGGAGGTACCACATTGCAAGAAGAGCTAATTCTGAAAATGGAGTGAAAGAAAGGAAGAAGAAATGCATAAGAGAATGGAGAACCAAGTTCAACTCAAGGTGAAGCCAGTTCTAGTGTTAGGGCGAGGATGACTATTGATCAAATTCACTGCAAGTGTTATAACGCAATCCTTGAGAGGCTCGCTAGGCCGAAAACCCGAAAGGCCGATCTAGGAAAAAGTTAGAGCATGAAAAATGAGAAATCAAATAAAAAGAGCTCGTGAGGTTGAAAACCTGAAGGGCGACTTTGGCAAAAGTTAGAGCGCAAAAGAAGAGTGTTAACACTTGAGTGAACCTCAACCATGAACTACGTTGACCTGATTTCCACTCTTGGGATACGTAGGTAACTTCAATATGAAGTTCGGTCTCAACCATATCCATCTTATCCATCTCGACATAATAAACTTGCCCAATTCGCATCGTCAACTTCGCATCAATCCATGAGCTACATCAACTGCTGCTCATATCACATTCTTGCATTGGGCAAAGAAAGAACTAGCTTGAATCAACAAGTGGAGCAATTTTCAATACTTGAACTTATCAGTAGAATCTCTAACTCGAGCAAAAAAAAGGAATCAAAATTGAGTTTTAAAAAGAGCCTAAGTAATACTAGGCGCATTATGAATGACCAGCCATTTTGAGTCTTTTTTTGCTTTTGGGTCAGTTGTGAATTCTGTTGTGTAGTGTCTGGTGTCTGTCGCTCAGCCTGCACTTTTCATTGAGTCATTATAACGTGTCTATCGCTCAAAAGTGCTTTTCATTGAGTCACCATAACGTGTCTGTCACTCAAAGTTCAGCAAAGTGGCACGGTCAAAATTCCATACACGAATGTTTGCTCTGAACTCAAAAACAAGTCCATGTGTGGAATTTATATACAAACTGAGAGTGCCCATACGAGGGGCATCGCATTCATGATCATTGCAAAGTGTATATGAGGAATTCGTTACTGCTTTGGAGGGGACTGGAGTAAGTTCTCAACATGCTGGGATAGAAAAGATGCATGAGTTTGATTGATTGCCAACTGTTCCAGGATCTGATGATCCCCATCACGCATGACTGCATAATGTTTAAAAAGGTGGCCAGTGATTGGACACTAGAGGCAATTTTCAATACATCTGATCGGGCCATCCATCAAACAAGGGGCATAAACCCAACCAGTGGACAATGACTAGATACTAGGGGCAATTTTTGGTGCATCTAATTAGGTCATCAATTGAACAAGGGGCATGAACCCAACCTTTCTCTTTGTCCACTCAAGCCATTTGTTAGGCACTTTTCCTTGGATTAGGGTAGTTTACCCCCATGATGATTTTGATATGATTCAGCTTTCAAAAGTTGTCTCCATTCATTTCAAAACTCTCTTGGGATTGTCATCTTCCCTCTGATTAATACATGTGCTTTTGATTATGTATACATGCTCATACCTTCTGGTTGATTTGAATTGCATAATTGGTTGCTCCTGTTTCGTCGAGTTACCTTCTGCAGTGTTTTTCACTTACATTTCAATAAGTTGTGGCAAGTTGATTTCAAATAAATTGTGGCAAGCTTCCCTGCACTCATTCCATAAGGTATATGATGCACTACTCTATGTACTGCTCATTTCCCTCTACATACCATGCATCTTTCAGTTTGTATCGCATTATTTTGTGCATTCATCTTGTGTCGCACTGTTTTGTGCA